TGCTGGACCATCGCCACGCTTTGGGGACTGCTCCGACTCATCGATGTGTTTCGGGGACCTGTCCCCCACCAACGCTTCGGAGATCGTTCTTCTTGGCTACATGTGATTTGTACTCACATACGGTTGAGTGACATTTATTTAGACCTTGCTACAAGGCTCCTACTTCTCCTTCCAGCAAGCTTGGGGACTACATCGGTACGATGCACCTGCCGATGCATCTCGTATTGCTTGTACGACAATTGGGTTCTCAACTTAATTGGGAATTCTTTTCAGACCCTGGCACCACGTGCCTATGTCACCTACTACCAGGCTCGGGGACTAAGTGGGCACACTTCATCTTATGGTGAATGTGTTTGTTTTTCGACCCCTACGCCTCTGATGATCAAGGACGCTATGCTCCGAGACGCACTTACATTTCTGTTCAGAAATACAAGTGGGCACACTTCTCAGGACGGAAATCTTTTTCTTTTTTCTTAAGAGCACCATATATTCTTCGGACAACCGACTTCTCCGGCGACAACGGTGGTCAGAGACGTCAAGGACTCAAGCCTTACTTGTCGGAGAAGGTTAAAATGGCGTGTCGCAGCATAATACATGGTGCTCGGGGACTAGCTGTGGGGGTATTAACCCCTATACCCTTATGGCTAAGCTTGGGCCGGCCCGGATCGGTGGGTCCGGTCCACCAAAAGACGACGTGCGGCCTGGTTAACCTGATCGGAGTCCTGCGCAAGGAGTCAAGGCGGATTTAGCGATCAATCAAGATCCTGGTCGGTTAGAATAGGAATCTTATCCGCCACATATGGCAATTGTAATCGGCTAGGATTAGTTTTCAGATCTGTAACCTCGCCTCGAACTATATAAGGCGAGGCGGGGACCCTCTAAAAACATCTCTCATTGACATACAAAGAATACAAATCGACGCAGGACGTAGGTATTACGCCTTCTTGGCGGCCGAACCTGGATAAAACCTTGTGTCTGTCTTGCGTCACCGTCTTGTTTGTGGTTTGCGCATCTGTCTGCCGACAATCTACTACCTTGGGTATACCCCTAGGTAGACTGCCGACCATATTTCGTCGACAGTGACCGAGGGCGAGCAGGAGTACGAAGAGGTGATTGAAGAGTACGAGGAGGAGGTCCTGGAGCCACCACGGACTGACTGAGCTGACACCACGCCTGTCCACGGCAAGCCCCGGTGCATAACCCTTATTTTGAATAATCACTGGATATGATATACATTTACGTTACAGGCATTTTATGGAAACTACATGCATAGATAACCTACCTATGAGTCCTACTAGCATATGTCGAGTAGCTGCTATGCTTAGTCTATCGGTAGCGTGAGTAACCTGCCATTACTTACAATAGGTGATTATTATTATCCCTCGTGATAAAATGGTGAAAGGAAATGTAGACCGGGTAGGGATATGGTACGGATATTGGTGGGTGTAAGGAGTTGTGTTCCGTGGCCAACGGGGCATATCATAGTTACCTTGTTTTTCCTGTCCGTGTCGGTTAAGGACCGACCGTTGCATTGGATTCTAGTCAGGTCACAGACTTATTATCCTGAGCACATACTTGTTTATGGGAGCAGGAAAGGCTCATTGCTCTCTTGTCGTGGGTTCCGGCTCTTTTCGGACCGACTGATGGAGGCGGGGATGGTGGAGGTCTAAGCACCACTCTGAGTCTAGGACTCAGATGTGGAGGCTTGGAGTCTAAGTTTGGATGGGGACCTGAACCCCTTGATAGGAGAGTGGTTGGTTGGTCCTGCTTGTGCCAAGGGTATAAGCGGGGCGTGTGTTTCGGGGTACCCAGCTGGGCACATTGATTCGCGAATCGCTGGGTAATCCGATACGACTTATCTACAATCTAGCACCGTAGTAAGAACTGGAAGATGAAAGATGATGAATTGGATCTGTTCGTTCAACTCTTGCTTGAAAGTAGAACATGTGCTTACCTAGAATGGTTAGATAATGGACTAATCATGACTGTTAATAAGAAACATACATAAGGATTTACTACTATTATTGCTTTCCGCAAAAAGAAAACCCAACAAATCATAAAGCTTATCATATCCTTTGGAGTCGGGTAAGTCTTGCGAGTATATTGTGTACTCAGGGTTTATTTACCCTGTTGCAGGTGCAACTTGAAGGGTAGCTGTTGTGTGGAGGATTCTTCTGGTGGGCATAGACGGATCCTTGTATTATACCGTTAGATGTTTATTATAATTCCGCTGTTTAAATTTCGCACTTTGAACTTGGTACTGTAATAATATATTTCTAAGAACTCTGGTCGTATGAAATGGACTAAGTATTATAAACTCGTTCTCATTATTGGATCCTGGAGGAAAACGTGGATTATTCAAGTTCCCCCTTGGGGCGTGCTCGACGGAATCCGTCCGATGTAGTGTGCTTTCGAGGTGCTTAGTGTCTGGTGGAAGACGAACGTCTCCGTAAGTATGCTCTTTCGACCGGTTCTGCCACAGCAGCTCGCCATGGCCAGGAACCAAGCCTCCATCAGGACTCGGGAAGGGTAATACATGAGTGCTACCCGGTATCTTAGATTTATAATGCATAATAAGTATTATTATATTGATTAAGAAATATACATTAATGATAAATTAATGTAAAAATATAAATATTAGTTTTATTTTTATATAATTAGTTAAAATTAAAATAGTTTGACTTCTTATGAAATGTAAAGTGAGTTTATTTTATATTACGATCAAACATTAAATAATATAACTTTGTGATAAATGAGATTGCATTTATTTTGGAATGGAGAGTGTACCGGAAACAAAATTTACTTGCTGGAGACCGTAGTACGGAACAGTATCAGGGTATTCTGCCCTGCTTGCAATGTGGGAAGCATAGATTCATAATTTTTAAAAGAAAATAACACTTTTTTTTTTTGCAAAATATACAAACAGATTACAAAAATCCCTTGACCCTGTGGCAGTCTGGCCCCTGCGAGTCTGCGTCACCCCTACCTTATCTTTTCGCATTCACCCGGCATGCTCTCTCTCTCTCTCTCTCGTGGCGACGACTGGGCGATCGCCGCCGCACTACGCCGGCTGCCCAGTCCTCCGTCGGTCACTTCACCAGGCCTTCGTCATGGGCTCTTTGCCGGCGACGAGCACCAACTGCATGCGCACCCTTCTCTTCCTTTCCTGCTGTGCGCCGAACCCTGACTTAAGCTATTTTGCTATTTGTATTAGAGAGAATTCCTTTATTTGATACTGGGAAAATGAGTCGTTCCTTTTTTGGTCCTAATTTTTTTTTCATTCCTTATTTGACACTTACTTCAACTTTCGTTCCTAATTTGACAACTCAATCGTCAAATCAGTTTATTAATTATTAATCGCCGTTATAAAGGCGTTTTGCCCTAGAAAAAAAAAGCGTGAAAAAATTTTGAGAGGAAAAAAAAACCGCGCTTTTTTTTTTTTAGTTGGGCGCATGCATCGAGGCGGCGCATGTTTTTTTTCCTCTCAAATTTGCTTCGCCGTTTTTTTTTCTAGGGCAAAAACGCCTTTTAAACGGGCCGCCAACATTGTTAGCTAACGGATTTGACGGCAGTGTCAAATTAGGAACGAAAGTTGAAGTGAGTGTCAAATAGAAAACGAAGAAAATTTTAGACACAAAAAAGGAACGACTCATTTTTCCAGTGTCAAATAAGGAATTCTCTCTTTGTATTATGCCTACCACTAACTTCTAGCTTTTACAAAAAGAAAGGCTTTCCATGTGTAGTCCCATGTCTTTTTGCTGGTCCGCCCCTGTCTATATATCACCATTGTATATATCTCTAAACTTGTGAAATTTGAGATGGACAGTGCGTTATCATGTCCATGTTATCAATGGTTTTTATACTAGGTTATAAAAAACATATAAGTGCTAAGGATAGGGATAGGGAATGAAATTTTCATGAACCAATCAGCTCTTTTATATCCCCCTATCCCCTATCCCAAGCTCATTTCCATATCCAAACGGTTAGGCCCACCACCACCCATCGCTCTCGGCCAAACGGCACCGGGATCCCGCGGCTCGCGCACGAGCACCACGAACTTTCTTCTCCGACGTCCCACCGCCCCACACCTCCCGTCGCGCCGCCGAGCGACGGCGCGCATCCGCCTCCTCCGCTACGCCTCTCCCGTCCTGCCTCCCGCGCCGTCTCGCCTCTCATCGCCGCCCCGCCTCCCTCCGTCGTTCCTGGCCGCCGGGCTTCTTCTCCGTCGCCGGCTACGCGCGTGAGGAGGGAGAAGGAGCCGGTGAGATATACTTTTTTCATCTCCTCCATCTTTCGTCTCTCCCCCCCCAACGGTCCGACTGGGCGAGCGCCGCAGCACTACGCCGGGTGCCCAGGCCTCCGTCGGTCACTTCGCCACGCCTTTCGTCGCGGGCTCTTCGCCGGCGACGAGCACCAACTGTATGCGCACACTTATCTTCCCTTCCTGCTGCGCGCAACCCTGATACTTCAGCTATTTTGCTATTTGTATTATGCCTAGTTGCCTACCACTAACTTCGACTTTTACAAAAAAGAAAGGCTTTCCAGGTGTAGCCCCATGTCTTTTACAAAAAGATATATCAGTATATCACCATCGTATATCTCTGAACTTTGGACATTTGAGATGGACAGTGCGTTGTCATGTCCATGTTATCAATGGCTTTTATAGGTTAATCGTAAATCGATGACTAAAGTCATTTGGTTATGTCAGATGCTTTTCATTTATGAATCTGACCAGTGCTTCTCTACATACATAGTCGCATGTTCTTGGGATTGCAAAATTATACCAAGTCAAGGTTTCGACTTTCGAGCATAGGCTTCTATCGAAGACGTTCAGTAATTGTGGTCCATTTTAGTGCACTTATTGCTACATTATGTTGGACAGACAGATTCTTGTCACAGACTCACAGTGCCTTCCTAGTTGCCTTTGGTTTAAGTTATTGAATCTGAAATCTGACCATCATGAACCAGGTTGAGGATTGGTCCTCTACAAGCATGGTATAATGGTAGAGAGCGGAGTTCAGCTGACACTGACCTCCACTTTGAAGAGCACAGGCAAGACAAGGATCAGTGCAGACGGGCTGAATAATGGATCACATACTACCAAAGTAAGCATCGGAAAGCATAGAGATAGAGTGGTAGCAAAGTTTTTTTTTTCAGTCATCACTAGCGTGTCTTCACATTGCATTGCTCTCTTCTCCCTAATATACAAAAAAGAAACCATTTTCCAAAGCAAGGATTGAACTGAATATATCACATGATTTTTGTACTTAATATACTAAAAACAGGTTTGCTGGGCATCAGAAATTTGGTTCCTGGCTTGGTCAAGTGGCATAAATAAATATGGAAAAGGATCACCATATAAAATTTGAATCACTTGACGTGTCCTTTTATTCTTTACCACTGTTCTCTCCCACCTCATTTCAAAGAAAACAATTTCCTTATGTTTCAGGAGAAGCATGAACATAATGGCACTTTACAACCATCAAAAGGCCAGAAGCAGCAGCTGTGCACAACATGTGCAAAAAGGCATACTTGTCAATCGGTCATTAATCGAACAAGACAAATGCAAGCTCTAATGGACTCAAAGAAGCCCTACCAAGCACACTCTGTATTCAAGCACTTAATGGATGAGGGACACAAGCCTTCATTGGTCACATACACAATTCTACTGACCGCCCTGACAAACCAGGGGATGTTTGAGTCAATTCCATCACTACTTGCTCAAGTTGAACTAGCTGGAATTAGGCCAGACTCTGTCTTCTTCAATGCCTTGATAAATGCGTTTGTTGAGGCAAATCGGATGGGTGAAGCAATAAACACATTCTGGAAAATGAAGCATTCTGGCTGCCACCCAACTACAAGCACCTTCAACACACTGATAAAAGGATATGGCATTGTAGGCAAACCTGAAGATTCACAGCGCGTCTTCGACATGATGGTCATTGAAGGATCAGTCAGACCTAACCTCACAACATACAACATTCTTGTGAAGGCATGGTGTGATCGGAGAAATCTTGAGGAGGCCTGGGGCGTTGTGGGCAAGATGCGAGCAGGTGGTGTTGAGCCTGATATCGTCACTTACAATACCATAGCCAGTGCATATGCCAATAATGAAGAGACATGGAGAGCAGAAGAGCTCATTGTGGAGATTCAGACTAGAGTACGCACCAGTGAGCGAACATGGGGCATAATTATTGGTGGTTATTGCCGGGAGGGCAGGTTGGAGGAAGCATTGCGATGCGTCCAGCAAATGAAGGATGCAGGAATTGTTCCTAACGTCGTCATCTTCAACACACTGCTGAAGGGCTTCCTTGATGCAAATGACATGGCTGCAGTCAATAATGTGAGTTCAGGAGAAACGTTCCACTTTTGTTCATGTACATGCTAGGAGAATGGATTGTTTAATTTTGTGTTCATGTGATGCAGATCCTGGGTCTGATGGAGCAGTTTGGCATCAAGCCTGACATTGTCACCTACAGTCACCAGCTGAACACATTCAGCTCGCTAGGCCACATGGCTAAATGCATGAAGGTGTTTGACAAAATGATCGAGGCAGGAATCGAGCCAGATCCTCAGGTATACAGCATTCTTGCCAAAGGATTTGTCCGTGCTAAGCAGCCTGAGAAAGCAGAAGATCTTCTGTTGCAAATGAGCCATCTTGGTGTCTGCCCTAATGTCGTCACCTTCACCACTGTCATTAGCGGGTGGTGCAGCGTGGCCGACATGGAGAGTGCCATGAGAGTCTATGAGAAGATGTGCAAGTCAGGCGTCTATCCCAATCTCAGGACATTTGAGACTCTGATCTGGGGCTACAGTGAACAGAAGCAGCCATGGAAAGCTGAGGAAGTCCTTCAGATGATGCGGGAGACTGGTGTCAAGCCGAAACAAAGCACCTACTGTCTCATTGCTGATGCATGGAAAGCTGTTGGTTTGATTGAGAACATGAACAACTCAAATGGTTCCCCCAATGGTCCTTTTGGAATTGACAAATTGGATCATTCAGATGACAATTGCAACGTTCAAATATCAGAAGACAATAACAAGCTGCAAAGTTTTGATGAAAGTAATGGACGTGCAATGAATGGTCGGTCACGTTCCAGTTTTCTTCAGATAACAAATGCACTAGGCAGCAGTGGTATAGTTTCTGCCAAGGTCCTGAAGGCTGGAGAATTTCCATCCAAAAGACTGAAGGCTATCAAAACCACATCCTTTCTACAAAGATCAGAACGATTTCAATTGTTGCACCTCGAGTTTTGTAGGAAGCAGCTTCAGAAGAATGGTGGATTCTATAGTCAGAGCATCAGCTCATTCAAAATGGTTTTGTCTAGTAGAGGATGCATTTATTAATTAGATGTACACATTGGGCTGTAGCTTAAAAAAAATCTCGGTGTTCCAAGTCTGCTGCCTATGATGTGGGTCATTTTGTATGATTCAGAGTAATTCCTGCAGTGCCAAGCATTTCAAAGTTCAAACAATTTCACAAGTAGTTTCAAAATATGTGCTGTTTAAAAGCAACCGAAAAGACTACACCCATGACTTGTGTGTGGTGTACATTAGTCTGTAAGAAGAAATGCCGCCCTCAATACTTCCTCAGAGGAATGAGTGCAAGCTGTGTTTTTTTTGGAGTCATGAGTTCATAGCAAGTGTCCATTCACATTTCGTCCCCTGTTGCTAGGTATGCCAAGATATTTGAGACCTGGTGCTAGGAAATTCTTCATATTGAGTTTTTGTTTTCTTCCTTTGAATTTCAGAGTTAAGAACTTACATTGATGCACAAAACAATGATTTACGACACCCGCAATGTGCTAAGAGCTTAAGTGGACTTTGCTACCAATGGTCTCATGGTCTAAGTTATGTAACTAACTAATTAGAATAACTCAGTTGTAGTAAAAGATATCAGGCCTAATATTCGTTTAGTGCTTTCTTAGTTCACTAGGTATTGATGTTTAGGTTGCTTGCTATCCTGCTTAAGTTCAGGCACTGCTTCATACTGATGTTTTGTGCTGTGTTTTTGGAGTCATGAACTCGTAGCAGGCAGGTATCATTGTGTCATCTGTCTTGCTAGGCATGCCAAGAGGCAAGAGAATCAATGCCTGGTGCGAGTTGATACTCTTTAATGGGTTTTTGTTTTGGTGTGCTAGAGCTACTTCTGGTTGTTGGCATGGAAAATTGGATTTGATGTTCTTAACTTGTACCGGCTGACAAGATTATCCTTAACTAATGTTAACTTGTTATGGTCTTCTTGGCTTGCCATAAGCTGTCATGTTTCATGTTTTGAATGCTGTTGGGTCAGTTTTATGCATTAGAAAATGTTGCGACTTTTGAATGGAACTATAGAATCTGTCCAGTGGGACACTACCCACCAGGGTTCAAATCCTAGTGATCGCACCTTTTTCTGTATTTTTTCCAAAAATTTTAGGGTACACGCACGCGTGCGCGTTTGGTGGTACTGCGCGTATTTCCGCGCACTGGAGGCCGCGACGCCTCCCAATCTCTTCTTTGCGTGTGGACAGACACGCGTGCACACGCGTGTGGAGTGAGTGTGGAGTGTTTGGATTGTGTGCGTCCAAGTTGTACCCGATAAAAAAAAACTATGTAACTGGACATAGCGTATATCTAGGTGCATAGCAAGCATATGTACTTAGAAAACCAAAATGACTTATATTTTAGAACGGAGGGAGTATAATTTTGGAGTTATATGGAACTGGGGCAGTAGTTTTTTAAAAGTGGCTGCCTATATTTCGTATGGTACCAATGAGTTTGTGCAAATCTGCAATGTATTGTGGTTCATATACCTGGATTGCTAATAGCCCAAACCTACATCTATTGTAATGTAAAAGAATTTCTGATGAGATTATATGGATTAACTTAAACTGTTCTGTCTGCCAATGGGGGACAAATTCATTATTTCCACACCCTGCCATCACTAACCTATCCTAAGAGAAACATTTGAGCATTTTTCCTGTTATACAGTAGCACCTCTAATTTTATGCTTCGTCTTGTGATTGGCATAAATGCCACATCTATAGAGGGTTTTACATGCATGTTTCTTGTGGGTGTGGCTGTAGAATCTATGGTTTGTATTTGCTGCACTAGGCATAACTCTGTGTGTACATGTTTTGTACTAGCTAACATGTGGTGTATGCATTGAGCAGGTCAGAAATTGTTTGGTGTAGCAGGGAGCCCAGCATATGTGGCACCTGAAGTTCTTTCTGGAAGCTATTCTGAGAAAGTTGATATTTGGGGTGCTGGTGTGCTACTACACGTACTACTACTCGGTTCACTTCCATTTCAAGGTGTCTCTCTGGATGCCGTTTTTGAGTCCATAAAGACTGTTGAATTTGATTTTAGCAGCAGCCCATGGGAATCAATATCAGTTCTTGGACGGGATCTTATTGGCCGAATGTTGAATCGAGATGTCTCTTCTAGAATGACTGCTGATGAAGTTCTCAGTAGGTTCAAGCTTCAAAGAGTTTCTCATTTAGCATTGTATTTTTTTAGAATGTCTTTATTTACTGATACCTATTTCAGGTCACCCATGGGTCATGTTTTACACAGAATGCCCCCTGAAGGTGGTAGCTGCTAATTTGTGTCTCACTAACAAGATTATAGCACCCAAAATTCCATGGGACAGTCCCAAGTCAGAATGTGACTCATTGTCAGACTCGAGCCAAAGGTCAGAAGATCAGGATGAATGTGGCTTAACGCACTGACAGCAGCAATAACCCGTGTTAGAACATCAGAGCCAAAGAGAAGTCGCCTCTGTAGCCCTGCAATTACCATTCAGCAGGAATGCTCAGAATTATCTTTGCACGGCTTTCTGACCTGACCCAATGTAGCACCTGATCGGAATGGTGTCCATTTTTCTCGCTGAGAAGGTTGTTCTGATTGATTTTTTTTAATTTTAACACTTTTTGAAAACTAATTTTAAATCTAACACTTTCTGTTTTTTTTTTCAAAACTAACACTTTTGGCCGCGCCATTTGCTATGGCGCGGCCAAAAGCCTGTGCCGCGCCATGCATGGTGGCGCGGCAGGGGGCTGACGTGGTGACGACCGGAAAGGTTGATGGTTGACGTGGCAGGGCTGCCGTGCCACCCATCTTGGCGCGGCAGTGCCGCGCCACGGAGCATGGCGTGGAGGTATCTGGACGGTTTAATCGGAACTTTGCGCGCCAATAGTGGGAGTTACTTTAGGTATTGCTTGACGTAAAACCAATAGTGGATTTATTTCTGTCTTCTGTTGAATCTTTTTCACGGCTGAACAGAGAATTTGATAAATCAATAATTTTTTTTCCGTCTTTCATAATACGGTTAACCACCATTAACTAATCGATTATGAAAAAATGGATTGGATTGAAACGAATATTTTTTTAAGGGAACTTATTTTTTTAGCTTTTTGGCCCCATATCGTAGAATCGGCAGCGACGCGACTATGGACCCTGGCGTCGAGATACCCTGGGACTGCCGCTTCCCGAACTAGTTGCTACTTAATCTCAACGGCAGTGCTGCCGCGACGTATTGAAACAAGCAAATAAATGAAGTCCGTGCGCAAGTTGATAAGCTGCCACATAACATATTCATTGGTTTGACATAAGTTCGATATAACATAACCAACTAAGCCTGCAAGTTTCGGACACCAATATTGATTCGACCTAACAAACTAAGACCCAGGAGTGTAAGAATTCTTCGGACGCCTCTGTCTCTTCGGATTTATTGGCAACACATTAGAAGTGTAGCCAACGTTGGTGTGGTCGTGTCGCCGGTGCGTACGGCTCGTACCCTGCAAGTATATGATATTCACGATTACTTAGAATTCTTTATGATCGTTAGTTCATGTAGCCTACATATTTAAAGAAATTACCTTTGTTAATACATGTGAGGCTCTTTGGGTACCAAGCGGGACACCACCTAGCTGAGACATGCCGATCTCGTCCTGTGGCCAATCGTCCCACTGGTCGTGCTGTCTACGGAACCCGGGGGGGGTCGTCGTCATCGTCGTCCTCGTCGTCCTCGGTTGCAGGGTCCTTCCCAGCGCTATAATGTGATGGTGTACATACCGCGGAAGTGGCACCTATCACCGGCTGAGAAGAGTCGGCTGGTGTCCTCAAAGAGACTGAAGACGTGCCACCCAACCGCGCCGGGAGTGGCGGTTCCTCATAAGGAGTGTCCATGCAGCTCAGCTTTTGAGCTAGCTTCATGCATCTCTTCTTCACCTTCTGCATAAATAGATGTTAAAGTTAGTGCATTTCCCAAACGCATATACACTAAAGAAATATTTTTAGAACGGACAAGTTTATGTTTACCTCTACAAAAGCCTCGAGAACGCCTGGCCCCTGCCCTCTAGACTCGTGAAGCTGGAACGCTGCTTCGTTGGACAGCCTCGACAATTGTGTCGCCTGGGTACAGAAACGCGGTTGAACAGTTTTACATACTTAATACCAAATGGATAACAAATTATACCATTCAAGTATCTTACCACGAATCTTTGTAGCGGGGCTCTCTGTAGCTGTGTGTCCTCTCTAGTGGCAACGTCGTACACATCTTCGATCATATCTTCCTCCGAGTCCTCGTCAATCGCCTCCTCAGTGTACAGGGGCTTGATATGTGTCCTCGTAGACCTGTGAAGCCACCGCAGGTACTCGTCGAAGGTGTGCTAGTCGTGTGGAGGACCCGTATGGACCGGTTGTCGTTCCCTGTTCTCCCACAAGTGGATGTGCGTGTTGTGTGTCACGTGCCAATCCTTGGTCTTGTACCTCTTTCTGCGGTCATACCTGCAATAAAACGATGTTAGTTGTACCACACACACCTCTGAATTGTAGCTTTGTTATTAATCAATAACGCACACGTACAATCCTTGGTTGGTGGAGTAAAGCGGTGGTGGGCAGCCTGTCATTCTTCCAAACTGTCTGCAGACCCTGATGGGCAAGTGAATCTCGACCACGTGGAAGAAAATAAGAGGGACGTTGCAGCGATACTCCTCTGACTCATCACCAGTGACAGGACTGAGATAGTACTGAAGCTCCGGAGCATCCCAAGGACATCAATGCACCTGAACATTTCGTAATTGAGTTAGGCTGTGATATAGTGTACATCGAACAAGACACATGCATGATAGTAAAGAAAGCGTAACCTGGTACTGTGTCAGGACGTCGAGACCGTCCGTGTACTCCCTGTACTTGTGCCTCGCATTCCCTCTAAGTAACTCTGATTCCGTTTAGATATACAGAGCTATAGGGAGTGTATCCTGCCCGTTCCATTACTGCATTGAACACGATAATGAATTAGCCATTAATAAACTCATCATATGTAACCATATCGAAGAATATAATAAACCGAAGTACTTACCGGTAAACTAGTATTAAGGGGCCTCCCAACGGGCCATCGTTCCCAACACCAAACCTGGAGTAGGTACGAGCAACCCCCAAGGTTCGCATATCCTAAGGTGCGACGGCAGGCAACACATAGCTGTCGATACGTCCATGCCAGGACTGCGCTGCCCTAGCTGTACGCCGCTATGTTCTCCCACTGCTGGCGTAGTATGTCAAGGAAGATCCAATTGATGGTGTTGCCTGAGGCGTCTGGGAAGAGGAAAGCACCAAGAAAGTGCCAGAGCCACACTCGAGCGAACCTGTCGATCTGAGCCTCCTCAGCCTGTGGGTCCAAGTAATCAAAGCGCTCTGTGATCCAGGACGACGAAACACCAGAGCTTTTCCTAAAATTGACCAAAGAAAATGAGACCCGATGGCTGCAGGAAAGCAATGCAATTATTAAATAACCTTGAATTTCTCACTTATTTTTCTTGGAAGCCTCGTCGTCCGGTGGAAGAAAGCCAGTAAACTGAGCCACCAGCTCCCTCCGGTGATCGTTGTCAATTATCCCTGTCACTGGAAGTCCCCCCAACCGAAGGCCAAAAATAGCCTTCACGTCCTGCATGGTCAAGGTCATCTCGCCACAAGGTAGGTGGAACGTGTGGGTCTCAGGCCTCCACCTGTTATAAGAATAGAACGACTATTAGTTGCCTCAAATTTGTTACAAGAATGTTTATGTACAAATAAGGCACTAGCACCTGTCTATAGCTGCAGTAAGTAGTGCTGGGTCAAGGGGTGGAAGACCGTAGTTCACAACACGGACAAGCTCGAGGAAACCGACACGCCGTATGTACGACGCGTAACGCTCGTCCCACTGGTGCGCCCTGGTGTGCGTACGGGGCCTAAAAGGAGGCAATGCCACCTCTACGACGTTGTCACTCAAGATGTGTGCTCGGTGCTGGTCATCGTACTCCACCTTAAGAATGGGGTACAACGGATGCTGCGTGGGAGGAGTCATCCTGTTACAAATTGATAAACAAAGGGTTAGAGTATTCAAATTAACAAAATTCAAATTAACATTATGTAGCATTGCAAAATTTGAACTACCTGTTATGCAATACGAACACAATATGAAAGCACATGTATATATTCAAAGTAATATTAACAGATATATTAAACAACTTCACTAGAAATATAAGCATTTGATGAACTTATACAACAACACACAACCTCAAACCTAAAAACTAAATAACTAAATAACTAACTATAAACTAAATAATAAATACCTAACTATCCAAACTATACTACAACACACAACCTCAAACCTAAAAAGTACCTACCTAAATCACAAACAAATTCACTAACCTAACTATCCTAAATCACTAACTATACTAAATCACTATCATAAATCAATAACAATCATAAAACCCTAACTATCCTAAATCACTAACTATCATAAATCAATAATAATCAAAATAGCATGAAATCAAGAGGGAGGTACCTTGGTAGAGCCAGGCGGCCTCGACGACCACCGGCGTTAAGTGGCGGCGTGGCAAGCAGGCTTGGCGGCGCTGCGGAGGAGTTGGCGGGCGGGCGGCAGCCATCCCGGCTTGCCGGGCGGCGCGGGCACGTGCGGGCGCTATGGGCGGCGGGATGGATGGTGGGCGGTGGCGGCGGGCGGGCTCGCTCGCGATATTTATCTGGCCCTGCCGCGCCATGCTCCGTGGCGTGGCAAGCCCTGCTACGTCAACCGTCAATCTTTCCGGTCGTCGCCACGTCAGCCCCCTATCGCGTCACCATGCATGGCGCGGCACAGACTTTTGGCCGCGCCATGGCAATAGGCGCGGCCAAAAGTGTTAGTTTTGAAAAAAAAAACGAACAGTGTTCGATTTAAAATTAGTTTTCAAAAAGTGTTAAATTTAAAAAAAAATCTTCTGGTTTAGGTGTTGTAGAGCCGAGGATAATGGCCCCGTTCGCTTGTCTTAAATTTGGCTTGTTCGGTTTGTTTTTTCAGCCGTAACAGTGTTTTTCTCTCACAACAATTCAGCCGGAACAGTATTTTTCAGCCAGTTTCAGCCAAAGTTCAGACCCGCGAACGGGGCCAATAACTCTGATTTTCCGTTAAAGCAACAAGCCTTTGGTATGTAGTGTTTATTTCAGTGTTGATGAACCCCACAGTTGTGGCTGCTGTAAATTCTGTAAATAGCATGATCCTTTCCCAAGCTGTGCACGGGTTGCTAATTTATGCCATCAGAACCGTTTCACGCAATGTTCGTA